TTTTTTTTTTTTTTGTTTTGTTTAGGAGGGACTGGAAGGACTGTTGGAAGAGCTGGTGTCAGGCGACGCGCTGGGCTGCTGCTGGTCCTCGGGTGTGCTGTCCGCCTGCAGGGACGCCATTGCCGCTGATGAGTACCTGCACTTGGATGAGCCACATTCACAGCTGAACACCTTGCTTTTGACTTCCCAGAAGTGGTCACCATAGTTAAATCTGAGAGGAGGACGACAGAAGAAAGGAAATGTTTACATAAAAGTGCTGCTATGCAACCAAAACTACATTTATCTTACAGCCAAAAGCTTCTCGCTGGTTCACGACAGTTCTAAATGTAAATCCAAATGCTGTAAATTCACAGCAGTTAAAAGGTAATTTATTCAAATGTTGCTTGCAAATACAGTCAGCAGTGGTTAAAAGTTAGCATTTTTTATAAATGGTCCATCCACTTTCTGCTGTTTATTCAGGTATGCCACCGACATTGTGGCAGTGTCAATTCAAAGCTCTCCAGATCCCCTTCAGCTCTTCAGCTGACATTACAAAACCCGTTCAGAGACACAATCTCTCCAGTTTGTCCTGGGATCTCCCACCCAGGAGGCTTCCTCAGCTAGCTCATTGTGATGTGGAGTAGCAGTGGGTCAGCTCAGGGCCCTGTGCCTCATTCTTGCATGCCACTGTTGCCCTTAACTGCTGAGGGAGGGAGATGCTGCATTCAGGAGAAAACAGCAGCAAGTCCGGCACGTCTCAAGAGCCAGTATAAATGGCAATGGTACCATGGTGGCCACAAACCAGGAGCTCATTTCTGCCACCTGATCCATGATGTCACTCTTTCAGTCACCACCCACTCATTTCCCACACGTAAGGGTTTGAACTCTATAGCCGTGCTGATCTGTAGCAATTCATCACTATGACATTACTAGACCCCCAGAAATGTATTTGTTTTGCTCTGCTGTCTTGTACAGCATTGTTGTTTTTTAACTTTGTTTGTTTTCCTTTGTTTTATTTGTTAAGATTTTCTAAGGGGTGGGGGACAAAAAAACCCCCCCCAATAAAACAGGGGACTCTGTGTTATAACAACAACAAACACAACATTGCAGAAAAACAGATAAACATAAATTTAAATAACTTGCTAAAGCTTACCCAAGCTCCTCTCCAGCTTTGATGTTTTCACTGGCAAAGAAGGCAATGTGTGGAAAGCGCAGGTCCTGGTGTTTCGTGAACACTCGACAAGCGAACAAGTTGGGCTCGCACATGTGGTTGAGGAAGCGACTGATATTTCCATAGAAACGAGCATCAATGCAATAGAGATCCTGTGGTTTGCAGAAGGGGGAATAATAAAATAAATGACAAAACATTTTTTAAAAGAATTCTGTATAGAAAGAAGAAAACCAGAAAACAGTCCAACGTCTATTCAAATTTTTCTTCACTTTTACTTCACCTTGTCATCCAGACTGAACAGGTAAGCATCATTTTGCCTCATCTCTGCTTCTGCTTCAGAGATTATCTCTCCGACATACCTGTTCAAAAACAGACGGGCCATGAGGGGCGGGAACATTTTAATATTCATCTTTTGTTTACAAGTTTGTGACATGAACCGTGCAACACACCACAGACTTTACAGCCCAAGCTTTTTTGCAACACCCGTCCCTAGAAGAGTTTTTAAAGCACATTCAGAAAAATCAGTCACATAAGTCACAAACTGCAGTGTACCGAAGGGCTGTAAAAAACAAGGGGCAGCACATTATTCATGACCAATTCCTCTTTGAAAAGCAATGATTTCAGCCAGGGTCCAGTCTGACTTCTGTAGATAAAAAATCCAAGTCATTTATAACCTTCTGTGTTGGTCAGGCGTGATGTACCACTTCCTTTGCTAAGACAGATATTTCAGATCCTTCCACGCTCCTGTTTAAAACTAAACTTAACCAAACATCTAGTTTTGCATGTGTAATACTTGCATTTAGACTACTGACAGTCATCTTGGGTCAGTCTTGGGACCATCTGGCAGGAGATAAAGATAAAGCTGCACGTGCAAGAATAGCATTTTAATTTTTCCCAAAATGAAAGCAGAAGTGATAAAACACAAAGTCGTGGCCACTATTCTCCTCGTTTTCAAACTATAAATTATGCTGGGAAACACTGAAGGATCGATCCCTACAAAACAAGCGTTATTGGGCTGTCTTTGACTTACTCGCATACAAAGGTCCCTTGTGGTATGTCTTGCAGTGCTTGAACACCCCAACCTTTCTTACTGGTCCTGAACAGCTGGAGTCTGGTCCTAGAGGACCAGAAACATCTTTAAGCAACACTCATCTTTTTTACCTTCACACAGCAAGTAGTGCAGCTCTTCACATCAAAACTCTGTTATATACCCATGCTGGCTTACAAAGCCACAAATCCTTTAAGAGTTTTATTTGTTAAATCACCTGAGTCCGTTTTGCACTACGCGGTTCTTGCAGGTCCTCCAGCAGGAGCACGCATGGTTACACTCAAAGATGAGAGGAGGCTCCTCTCGGCAGAATTCAGGTAGAAGTCGACCGCTCTAAACAGGACAATACACACGTAGTGCTCTCTATGAGCTTCATGGTTTCAACGATGGTAGTTACACTAAACTGTAGTGATTTAATGTTGGGTAAAGCTTATTTTATTAAGGTGTAGGCACACTTTCAGACTCGCAGCCCGTTCTTACCTTGTCGTACCAGCAGCGCAGACTGAGCTGTCCACACATGCAGATACTCGCAGAGCAGTCTTCCTTACAAACACAGTACTGCAACAGAGCGGAAAATAATATAGGTCACTTCACAAACTTCACAATGCAAAGGAAAACCTATAGTTCTTTTTAAAATGTCTAATGGCACTGTATTACTGATGGCTTGGATCAAATGCAACACAAAAGACGTTAAAATTTAACAGAAAGTGCCGGAACAGTCTGATCATGCATTCACTCCAAAAGTAAACTTCTGACCACAAGTGTTTGCAAAATTAGGTGATCTGAATCAAACGATTTCAACCTTAGCAACAGAAAGTGGACTGAGATAAGTGAGTGAAATCACAGGACTTCCTGTGAAGTTCTGGTAATGTGCTGTAACTTGTTTCCAGGTTTCAGCTGCACCCTTCCTCCCCTTGGCAGTTATGAGCCAGCATTTGTGGCTTCACAACGTGATCGTTTTATTTATTTTTTCTTAAATACAGATCCAAGTACATAGTAAGTTATGATGTGAATTCTGTGTTATGTTGCAACAGTGAAGAATCTTCCATAGATTACTGGGTCCAAATCTGGATCGCCTCCAAAACTTCATCACTTCTAAGTGGAAACGCAAATTCATCTGCAACTTTTTGAGTAAAAAGAAAAAAGGTTTTCTTCTTGAACTGTGTTGACGATACTGGATCTTTGTGTTGATGACAGGGTTTTCTTCTGTAAATCTGAACTTGCTGTTCTTCATGCAGACAGTTTCCTTTTAGTTTGTCTCTTTATCGTTTGTTGTTGGGGTTTAAGTAATGTTAAAAGCCTAATCAGATGGTCTTTAGCTCACCTGTAAGTGTGTTATGTTCCTGTCAATATTCATGGGGGAAGTAACACAGTTTTCGGGGATGTACTTGTAGCCATCTGGGTAAGGTTCACTGTCAACTGCGTTGACACAGGGGATGGGAACTCGCTCTTGCCCTAAAGCTATGTCACTGTAAACGGACAGAGAGACAGTTTAGGTGCTTTAATTTGAAAGAAACAGGTGGACAGAATCTTGACATCGCTATTTATGATGCTTTATCCCTCCCAGCCTGGTCTTTAACCTGTGAAGGGCTTTCTCTTCTGCTCGACTAAGCCTAATGTTTTTGGCATCCCTCTCCTTCCTGTTGGCCTGCAGAGCAGCCCAGGCCTTCGAGTTGTGGCTGCAGCAGTCTGGGGGAGTTTCTCCCTCGCGGTTCTTCAAAAACACATCTGCTCCTCGAGACAGGAGGAGCCTGATGAGACAAAGAACACATTTTACCGACTACCTACGACAACAATTACTTTTTTTAGCGCCGTTTTTATTCAGTAGGTGAGGCTGGCAACTCACGTGATGCAATCCAGGCGATTCTCCCGAGCAGCAATGTGTAGAGGAGAGTCTCCATGGATGTTGACAGCTTGCAGATTGCAGTGAGCGTTCAACAGCAGCTCCGTTATCTCCACACTGCCAGAGAATGCGGCCCAGTGAAGGCAAATGTTTTCTTCCTAAATGAAGATAACCCAAATAAACCCACATTTAGTCAACATTTAATTCTTCTGCAAAGGATTTCAAACCTGGGGTGGAGAGACTTCTATGCTAACCTTGTCCCTGATGCTGCAGTCAGCTCCTTTAGTAAGAAGCAGCTTCACCTGGTCTGCATGTTTGTACTCTGTGGCCCAGATCATGGGCGTCCAGCCTCCGTCATCCTGTGGAAAATTAATAATGGGCTTGAAAATCAGCTGAAGAAATACTGAAACAACATCAATCCAACTACATATTGGAATTCCTATTTTAAAAAAAACAACTAAGAAGAAAAGCACAGCTTTTAATTTTCAGTCCTCCTGAGTACAGAGTAGTAAAAGAGGAAAGGCTGCTTCATTACGTCAAAGCTGTCCTGATGCTACATATAGCAAGTTGCTTCTTAATCCAAGACACATGCAGCAGAGTGCAGCACGTCATGCATGAATTATTCCCAGAGAACCTTTTAAGCCCAGTTACAAAGTGCTTTACAGTAAAAATACACACTGGAAATCTATCCTAGTGTGTCACATGAATGGAAAACAAGTAAATCAATGATTTTTTTTTTTTAATGGAAGTTACAGATCATATGAAACATATTATTCATTACTGAGCTTTGAGAGCAACAATTTTTAGTGCAGAGGACATCAGTCAACCAAAACATTTTAGATCAGTGCAAAATGTTTGCTTTGTAGGCAGTACACTGAATAAATAAACAAACTGAATACGAACGCACATCCTAACGGGAATTACTATTATATAAAACTTTGTTTATCATCTCTCAGATCTGAAATTTTAAGAAACTTAAAAGACTAGTGTGGAAGTATTTTAAACAGTTATGGGGAAAGACATTTTTACAGGGTTTCAACAAATGTAGCTAAATTTAGGATTATGTTTTAAATTCTACTTTTAATGTCTCAAAATGAAATTTTGAAAACTGTACAAATTCTCTAGGATTGAGACAAGTTTCATGTGTACTCATGAGCATCCACAACAACTTCATCTATGTTGTTTGTCAGAACTGCTTAAACCATCAGATTTAAGCAACCAGCATTAATTTCCAGGTTTCAAATCTTCTCTGCTTCATTGCTAAGAAAGGAAGGCTAACATATTTTGGACATTTTCAATAACAATATCAGAAAAATTATTTCTTTGCAGTTTTAGAAAAAGACATTGAGATATTTTAACACACACTGAGACCTTATTTTTTGATTAATGATGCATTTGAGACTTTTTAAGGACCCTCAGGAACCTGGACACCATCTGTTTCTTTGCCCATGGATCAGAAGCTTGATACCCCCTCATCTACAAAGCAATCATGAAACTACAGCCAGAAAACCAACCTTTTGCTAAGGTTGAAATCAACTGGGAACAGGGTGACTATGGGAAGCTGAAGTGAAAGCACACATGGTTTTTTTGTTTTCTTATAAACTAGGATAGTTTTTGCAGCCTCTCCCCTTCTTTCACAAGAGACATTTTTAAGTGTACTAACCTGGCAGTTAATATCAATCAGTCCAGTGGACAGAAGGTGCTCAACAATCTTGTAATGGCCAGATTTGGCCGCTAGGTGGAGGCACGTGAACCCTTCAACATCCTGAGAATGGCAGAGGATTTAATTATTGATTCAGGTTTAGTCAAACATTTCACCTGGATCTTTAGTTGGCTGATGGGAACCTCAGAAAAATCTGGTGCATATTTACCTTGTGCATGGCACTGGCTCCAGCTCTGAGCAGGTACAGGACCACCTCCATGTGGTTGTTCTCACAGGCTTCCATCAAAGGAGTCCGCTGATCTTCATCACACATGTCCAAGTTTGCACCAGCCTGAAACATCAGACAAACAGCTAGTGTAAAATTGCTTCCACAAAATCAGAATCATTAATATTAGAATAAACCTCTGGTTGAGATTTTTATTTTAAGGTTTTTGTCAGAAAGTTACTCAAAGTTTAATATTTCCGTCAGAGAGATGTGAAGCACAAGGTTACCTGAACAAGCATGTGGCAGATGTCTTTGTAACCTCCCTCTGCTGCTGCGTGCAGCGGGGTGCGTTTATTCTGCGATTCCATCTTAAAGTTTGGGTCAATACCGTCCACTGGAAGGGTAAAGGAAGGCGAGTAAGATGCATGAAAATACCTGCCAACGTTTATGTTTAAAAAAATCCCCCCCACCCCCACCCCCCACACACTTCTGTGTAAACTGTGCCAGCTGTCCAGCTTAGAGCAGAACTAGTTTTGATGGATAATTTGTTTTTTTTAAATGGCATCATTTGTGATTTTACAATTAGTATTTGGATCAAAGTCGGCAACATCTTGTCACATATTGGCTGCATGTGACAAGATGTTGCCAGCTTGTGGTGACAGATGGGCTGAAATTGTATACAGTGTGTGGACTGTGTATTTAGGCTGGGGGTCAAGGACTTTGGTAGCATTAGACAAACACAGAAAACTTACAAATACATGTGGTAAAATTATTCATAATAAAATTTGAGGGTCATGAAAATTGCACCAGCTTCCTGGAAGAAAGACCAAAACTAGTTTTGGCAGACATCGCTACAAGGTGAAAAATGAAAATGAGTGCAGATGACAGAGCCTGAATGGGATTTACGTACCCAACATGAGCAGGACCTTCTTCAGTTCTCCTTGCTTGGCAGAGAGGTAAAGTTGTTTAGGGTGGAAGCGCAGTTTCTTGGGTCTGATCAAACAGACACAAAAAAATGAATTAGCTTGTAAATGGCTCGTGGTCTTTTAGGTGAATTAAGGTGGGTTTACTTACTTTTCTGTGTCGAGAGCCACCAGGATGCTCTCTAGAGTTTCTCTGGGTCCTGGAGTGAGTGTACACAGGGCTGTTGTTGCCATCCCAGCCTGCAGGGGGGCAGCCCTGGAGGACCCAGGAACAGCAGATGTGTCGAATCCAAGTGCAGAACGAACAGGCAGCGAACTGTCAGCCCGGCCACTGACTTCAGCCCCCACAGTTAAACAAGAGGAGCTAGAAAACAAGTGAGAACATAAGTTTAAGTTCAGCATTTTGTAATAAACAAACAAAATAGTTCCAAAGTTGCATTTTTACCTGCCGGTGGTCGTGTCTGCTCGGCCCTCGAGGGCTCCAGGCGTGGCTGGCCCATGTTCAAGAGCAGGGGGCACGGTGGAGGTGGTGTCAGCCTTGGCAATGGTGACCTCCTTGGCCTTGCTGGCCTCTTCTCCGCAGTGAGGACAGAAGCTTTGACCTTTCAGCACTGAGGCACAAGCGTGATGGAAACGGTGAGAGATGTTCACATCTGGTTGGCACTCCATGAAGGTCCCCTGTGCAGGAACAACAAACAGTCTCTGTAAACAAACATTCACAAAGCACATGTCCTCTGACCACGTCTCACACGGAAACAGTGTCTAGGTTGCTTCTGTAAACCTACAATATTCACTCATAAGAGGCCAAAGGAGGAAGAGCCCTACAACCAACGTCTGCCAAAGAACAATGGTGAATGATGTGAGAGTCCGCCATAATGAAAACAATTACTTCAAGTTTCTCCTGATAAAGTTAGTTCTTCAGGATACTGAATCACGACGTGTACTTAATGAGTGAAAACTTACTGACATCCAGGTGTCATCCAGGACTCACACTTAGAAATCTGAGGCACAAATTAGGAAAGTGTTTAGTCAAGACTGTCAAGCACAAACTAAACTGTGTGGTCTTATGCATCTGTGGACGTACTGTGTGTATAAACATATTAGATGAGTTACACGTTCCTTACAGGAGCTTTTAAAAGGCCTTGAGGTATGAGTAAAGGAGCCAGAGAAAACGGAAAACTTCAGTGGCTTCATCGAGAAATGGCAAACGTATCACATGCTGTGTCCTGTGTGAAAGCCTCATTAACCCCAAAGAACTGAGATTAGTGCAGCTTCTTCAATCTTCAGAGTAAATGCAGAGCCATTTACCATGCAAGTGTTTCATCTGTGTAAATTGTTCCATTTGTGACAGTAGCTGCCAGTTAAACTGCAGCCAGAGGCCTGAAACTGATTGGCACGCAGTTTTCACTCACCGCTCTGCAGAAGAAGCCGCAGCCCGGACAGCACTGGTGCTTCACCATGCCGTTGCGATGGTCCTCGCACAGAACGAGTAGCTGAACAGAGTTGGAAGGACGCATCATTTCATGTTTCACTACAGCGTCCTGGCAGCGAGTCAGCTGTCCATCTACACTCTCTGTGGCCATGCACTTCCTGTCTGCCAGAATGAGAATTTCTCGACTCTTGGGGGTCTCCATGCGGCAACTGCAGAGCGGAAGCTCCTGAGCCTCCTCAACCGCCGACCCTGAAGTGTCTGAAGAAAGAAAAGAGCGTGGCCAATGAAATCAGCCACATTGGTCTCACCAGGAATAGAAAACTATTTATTCAAATCAACAAAACAAGACATTTAACCCTTTAACACCCAAATATCATAGAAGCCCTCTGGAGGTTTGTTGGGGTTTTTTTTGTAATTTTGGGTGTAAAACTTGCAAATTAAAATCGAATACTCAATTTTCACCACTCTCTCAGTTCTGTAGCATTTTGTCTTTTAAAACCTTGTGGCTCCATTGCTTTGAACGTGTGCACTATAACAGCTCCTAATTCACATGAAGGGAAGGAAAGTAAAAGAAAAAAAGATCCAGCAACCATATTAACAACCAACTTCACAGCAGAAATAAGCATGTTTACAGCCTGCTATGAACACACTTTTGGCATCTGGATAGGTTCCACTTCGATAACAACTCTTGAGTGGTGCTTTTTTCTTTTTTTTTTTAGTAAGTAACTCATCCACCTGGATACTGAAGTTAGGGGTGTATATGCTTCGACGGGTTTTGTGGCACAGGCAGGTGGAGCCAATCTGTGTCTGAGGCCTTACCTCTGGTAACTGGAGTGATTGAACTAGACTGAATCTCACCTTTGCTGGGTGAAGGCGTGCTGAGGCTGACAGGTGGGACAATCTGCGTGTACTCCTTGTGATCATGGGGTTCGGCTGGAGTTGGAGCCTGAGGCTGAACAGCCACCTCCGGCTCTGTGAGAAAGACGAAGGATAAGAAAATACTTAAGGAAGAGCCTTGGTGAAAAATGTTCAGACAAGATATAATTATGGCATTTTTTCTTTAGTTCAAAGCAGCTGCAGAAGTGTAGATGTATATCAAACAGGAACAACAAGTGCAACCAGTTGGGCGCTGGGTTCGAACTGTGCCATGTTTTCAGACCAACGTGGATCTGAAGTTTTAGTCAGCTTGCAATCTAACTTTTGTCATTTTAGTCAATAAAAGTCAAAGCCACCCTGTAGAGTCTCAGACAGATTTTAGGGTTTAGCAGAGGCTTAAACTCATGCTTTTAGAATCCAATTTTTACCCAGAAGATCACCAGCACTGTGATTATATACATTTTTAAAGCTCATTTTATTAATTGAGCAACTATTTACACAAATATAATATACTTTAAAATTGAATTGTCAAAAATGGCCAGAAAATACACAGATTTGTGCCAAAATAAGCTAACTTAACTGTGTGCTGTAATCCTGCGTGCATGTATACTGAAAAATACTGCCCACAGCCAGATACATATGTATTTTTCGCTACCAAACAGCTGGAGACGTGGCCTAGGGTTGGGTTAAGAGATATAAAATGAGGCAATATTGCCAGTAAAGCTATCTCCACCTCTCACATGGGATTTCAAGCTCCCTCTAAAAAAGGAACCTGAATCAAGGAGACAGACAGAGCTGCTGCAACAATTGAGAGCTTTGTTTATTGTTTATTTTGTGAATGTGCAGTTCAGATCTGAAGTCTGAAGTCGAGAAATAAACTCACCAATCAAGGTGAGCAGCATACAAACAATTCACATGTTTTTGAACTAAAATGACTGTTTCTGTCAGTCTGGCAGCAGGTAAAGAGGTGAAAAGTTTATTTAGAAAAGAATCTAAATACAGCCAGTGTATAAACTGATACTGAATCTATTAGGTGGCTAAAATCAGTTCACTGCTGAACATTTACCCAGCAGTACATAGTTTCAGTTTCTGGGGTTAATGTCGGTTTCAGAGAATTACTTTCTGTCATCCACTTGCGACATGTTTCTCTCAAGAAATAGCATCAGTCAGCCTGAGAATATTGAGATAGGTGATTGGGTGGATGTGCATATAGAGGAACAGCGATCACCTTTGGACTTCATCCTCCTTTTTCGTTTCCTGGAGGGCCGGAGCCATGCGCTGTCTGCTTTTGTTTTCTTTTTCAATTTTTTCTTCAGACTCGACTCTGTGCTCTGATGCAGGTGAGAGTTTGGCCACAGGGATGATTTTAACAACAGAGAGAAACAAGAAAAAAAAAACAAAACAAAACAAAACAAAACACATCAATTCTCTTCCATTTTTAGCTAAAAGAGGTGGTATGAGATGCAGTTGGAGGAGTGGTGGCGAGCGGTCTTACCAAGTCAGATTCAGTGCCTTCCTCCTCCAACTCTTCCTCTCCAGATTCTTCAGACTCCTGCTCGTCTTTCACCTCCACCAGGAAAAGCAAACAGAATTCATCAGTAGCATTTAACACATAAGACTTTCACTGCAACGCATTGCATTCACAGTTATTCAGAGTTCCCGCAAAGAAACAACCACACAAGGTTTCAAGAGAAGGAAACAACTTTTATTCTCCAACCTGAGCGATGGATTCAGAGGTTTCCTGCGCAGCACTTTCAGGTTCTTCTGATGGCTGCTGTTGTTCCTCCTCTTCAGACTCCAGATCTTCTGACTCTTCATCCTCAGATGCATTTCCCACTTTCTCCCCATTTATGCTGGCCACCTCTTTAGCCTGCAAGACAACAAATGGAAAAAAGTGGATGTAATGTTATATCTTAAACTGCATGCCTTAACAGCCGCACCTCAGCATTTCCGCGGTCATAAATGAACCTGAACAACTTCCCATTAACCTTACCATACCAACAGTCCTGGTCTGTTTAAAAAACTAGGAAAAGTTCTCGGAGACGTTGATTGAAATATGTTCTGTTCTTAAAAATGCAATGGCACATCTAATATGTAGAGCTGGGGTCATATATGACCATTTTTAATTGTCTATGTCTCAGTGGACAATGATTGGAATAATTTATTCCACATGTGGCAATTTTTTCAACATTCAAGGGCAGAAAGTGCATGAGAAGCGTAAGACTGTATGAATGTATGAGATGTGCCTCGAGAGGCTAAATGAATACGTGTTACGCTTTCTTTTAATTTCGCAAATTTTTGAAAAGATGAGAAGCACAGACCTCTGGACTCTTGGCAGTCTGCTGTAGTTCCTTAAACATTTCCAGCACAGTTCTCTGCTTTAGCACTTTGGTTTTCTTCTTGGGAACCAAGCTGTACATTCCCATTCGCCTCTTCTTCTTACGGGATGACAGCGCTCCCGAGTAAGAGCCTAGAGCACAAGAGAACACCACATTTACAGCAGAGTGTTACCGCAGACAAACATTACACTCTGCTCCAATTTTTAGTGCATTAGCTTTTGTGATGTGTCGCTGGAGTCAGTCTAACCTAGCTGGAGCTTGGCTTGGACAGGAGCAGGAGAAGCCGAAGGAGCTTCCGGTTCTGCAGGAGTTGGAAGTGGCTGTGGTGGAGGAACAGGTGCTGGTGAAGCTGATGATGCAGTTTGTGCTGAAGATGGTGTATCTGGTGGACTCTGAGGTAGGTGGTTCTGAGAGGGTGACTGCGGTGAGGATTTCTGCAGGTCGGGTGCAACATGAGACTCCATTTTGGCACTCTTTGCTTCCCTTAATTCCCTGTTAAGAAGCTGCAGAGTGGCAAAAGCATTTAGGATCAATGTGTTACAAAAGGTTTCCTCATGGTTAGTTCTTGTTTTATTTCCTTGTTTTTAAAACCAATTTTCATTCAAATGGATTTGTTCCAGCTCCAGGATCCCCCCCCCCTCCCCACTCTATTCAGGGACTCCATTAGAGCAGCTTAGCATGATTCAAGTACAAAATAATCCATATTTATCATATACTAAGCCCTGGTTCAGCTGATCAGCTCATCCTCTGTCTCCTAACTTTAGACCTGTGCTCACAATCAGAGCTGTGGGTCTGAGATGTCCACATAAGTGAAATCTGCACGCACTGACGTCATAAAGAGCCAAGAACAGAAAAACTCCCTCAAACTTGAGTTTGTAGAAGTAAACCAATTGAGCTACAAAGAGTGACTTCATTATCTAAAACTGGATATGCTTAATATAAGCATATGATTGTAACAGTATATTTATGGCAGAATAAGGAAAGTAAACAAGGCCCAAATTTATTTTATTTTTTTTAAATAAAACCTAAATATACACACACCAAGTAAAATAAAGCCAACATTTTTAGTGTTGTAATGTCCACATAGTGAGCTACGGTTTTACAACCATTCAATTAAATATTTCCAAGTAAGAAGACTCAAATACACGAAGGCTCCATCATTGCCTGGGGCTTCATTTCAGCCAGTGGTGTTGGGAGAGTACCATCAGATTTTGAACCACCATTCATTACCATCTGCAAAGCTTCTAACTGGCAACAGCTTCATTTTTTCAGCATGAAAATACAGACTACAATAGAACGCCATCATCACATCACATCACTGAACCTCCCTTTCATTTTCCTGAAAACATATAAAGCAATGAGTAGTTGCTCGAACTTTTGCACAAACACATTTCCTTATATACTGCTAGCTAGTTAATCTGTAACTGAGTATCTAAAGTGTGTAAACAAATATAGTGGAGTAAATGCTGCGCCCACTCTCTAGACTCCCCTCTGCAGGCTGCAGCTATTCCTGCTAGAGAGCCAGGATGGCTAATTCCAGCCTGCAGCTATTTTATTAAGAAATATCCTAAGTTTTATTCAAAGATGCAGAAGATAATGTGCACAGATTTTATTTTAACTTCCTTATGCAGTAATGCTGTCGCTGTGTAAAACAAGCCAGTAGTGGAAGGGATCAGCTAAAAACACTTCTTTCTCTGTCAATCTCTTGCTCTTTTTTTAAAAAATAAATAAATAAAGATTTAATTTATTATTTTATCTTTCACCAAGTGAGTGGCAGACAGGAAATGACAAGCAGTAAATAGCTCAGGGCTGACTTGAGCCTGGGCTTCTGCAGTAGGCTTCCAGCTTATGGGTCACTTGCTAAACCAGGTAAACTTCATGAAAATACTGACTGTAAGAAATATAAAGTGGTTTTACATGTCCGAGCACAATATCAGTGTCACAAATGCAAGAGTTAGTGAAGCCTGTGAAGCCTTCAGCTGTCAGCCATCTTGGCTTTTTGAAACTGAAACTAGGGGCTGGATCTGACTGTGAAACTGATGGTCACAGCACGCCCAGTAGCCAAAGAGCACACCCTGGATAATCCTCCTCTTTTATTTCAATAATGACTGCAATTGAATCAATTTAGGGTGTTTTAAACAGCCTGAAACTACTGACTGAACCCATAAATTCTTCAAGGTTTTTACTGAGGTCACAGGACAAGGAACTGAGGCTGTATAAAACTGGTCACCAGATGCTGGCCAAGAATGCAGGCTTAACTTTTACTGGACTTACCATTGAGCCCTGTGTTTGCTATAATTTGCTCTTGTTAAAATCTTGTTCATTCGTATCGTTTATCATCTGCCTTCATATTAGATTAGAGAAGCCGCCTGTTGAGCAGCTGGCTCGATGAACCTCAGAGTGAAGAACTTGTGTGCCCCATGTCCGCTTCTGCTAATCAAACCAAAAGGTCTGGGAATTAAGCTTGCTTCCTGCTGCAGACAAGTAATACAAATCTATCTATATTTCAGGAAATGTTTAAGATGTTTACGTTTTTACATATCTAACAAGTTTTGCCTGATAAAAAAAATAAAAAATAAATAACTGTTCCAATCAAGGAACAATTTCCTTGTTTTTTTCTGTTTTATAAAATATGCCTCAACATGTTTGCCCAAAAGTAAGTAGACATTAAAAGTTTAGGCGCCAGAACCGCAACCAATTTAAGTGCTAAAAATCGTTATCAAACTGGCTGAAAAATAAAAAATTCAATTTAATACTTATGCACTAGACCCCTATTCTCCAGGATAACACTGCTATGTGTTTTTACATGATAGGAAAATGTCATATCCAGATATCAATGACACAGCATGCAAAACGAGATTAGACCATGCATCAGACAGCCTCTGATGAGGATGAAAATAAGAGCTACTTAGACAACATCCAGTTAAGTAAAATGCTTTGAAAAATATGCAAGAAATCTGTTTTAAACCAAATATTGCAGACGGCCAATGACACCCCTCAGCCTCCTAGACGATACACCTATGGTATCAATTTAAAACTCCTACATTGCTTCGTTCTTGAGTCATGTCATTCATAAACTTGGGTCTCCATGATGCCTGCCTCACTGGCCGGCACCCATCAGCCTTTAAGGGCTGAGGGATTTAAAAACAAACAAAGTCTCATCAGGTAGGATTTAAAAATAAAATTTGATCAGTTTTTTGGGGTTTTTTGAGGGGGGGGGGGTCAATTTCCAATTAAAAGTTTCACTTTTCACCAAGGAGACCCATTACATTTGTTGTGGTTTGCACAAGTGCAGCAGGTAATTCTTCTTATTGAGAAATGTGCACCCACATGAGGTGTTTCAATGGTGGCAAGTTCTTCCTTCCACCCATCTTAGTTTTAATGACAATCATTTCAAAAGCAAAGTTCCACAAAGGTCCCAATCTCTTCCATTTCCACACTGCTCCTTATTAAATGTTCCTGTCAGCACCTTTGTAAACAGTTCTTAAGAGGTAGGAACTTTTAGTGACATTTCAGGTAACAAAGAGTGGCAAGATAAGATCCTTTTGTGAAAAGAGCCACAGGTCTAAAAAGGAAGCCGTCATGCTCGAGTACACAATTATATAATTCTGTTTCGACAGCTTGCAGCTTCGAGTTTGGAGAAGCCGTTTTTCTGGTTCATCAGGACAAAATACACATTCGCAAAGCCAGATCTATAAAGAAATTGTTCTTTATGATTTGCCTAGTCAAATGAAGGCAAAAACCACAAGAAACAAGAAAAAATTGTGCTGGCCTACATAGTCACTGACCTCAAGGTCACCCAACACCCTTGGGATGAAATGAATAACACACCATTACTCAGAGGAAATGTGGTTGTGGTCAAATTGCTTCTAATACCTGCCTTTACAGTTGCAGATTAACCCTGTAAGCTCTAACATCAGGGTTAGGGTTGATGTGTTGCAGCATGCATGAACTACTACTTTAACACAGCTTTGTAACCATTCGCACTCAAGTGTGAGGCACCCAAATGCTAAGGTGTGGATACTTAGACAGAAATGACCACGCTTCAGCACTGGAAAAGAAATGGAAAAAGTTCAAACAGGAAACAAAATGTATGAGGAGGATGTTTTCTGCAGAACATCTCATCTTTTCCTACGTTTTTAGCATCTCCCTCTTTGCCAGCTGGGAATCTGAGAACTCCTGTGTTGATGTATGATAGAGCTGCTGATATAAAGCATAATGCAAGCCTCTAGCAGTTTAATAGTACCCTAACTATGAAACTGCTATTGAAATTGCATACAGGGCAATATAAGCTGTATTACTATAAGAGTTGCTGCAGGGATAAACCTGTTGTATATTGTAAGGGCATTTCTAAATTACAGATTTTTTCCAATTTAGCCTTCAACTATTTTTATTCCTTAAGGTGTCGAAAAAAACAAATCTAAAGCAAACATGATAATCCCTTGCTCTTGCTCTTGGTCATGGTTCACCTTTTGTGCAGGGCTGACAGCAGGTCTGGACATGGTCTTGCGCGCTCTGTGTACGGTGACTGGCGCTGGAACCGGGGAAGGAGATAAACTGGGGCCATTTTTAGTGTCTGGTGTCCCCTGCCCCGGCTTTGTCCCTGTACTGGGGGCAGTCCTCAGTGCACCTGAACTCTGTGCACTCCCAGACGCCAAGGCAGGGAGGGTTTTGGCTGCATGCCCCCCTGTCGGTGAGCCCGAGGGCAACCAGTTAGTCCTGTGAGGGGAAACTCCCAAACCTGGTGCCGCTGCAGCGCTGCCTTCCTGCTCCGGCTGCTGCTGCTTAGTGAGAATGAATCCATTGCTTCCAGTAACAGAACCATGCGGTGGCTCCATGTCAGACGTGCCATTTTCATTTAACAACAGTACAGTCTTGTTATTTCCTGTTGTCAGGTCCTTGTGGCTTGTGTCGTCGCTCTCGGTGCCGTTCAGCATCACCTCTGCTGCAGGGGAAAAAGCCAGTCTGTCTGCTACCTCTTTGTCCCCATCTTTGCATCCAAACAAGACAAATTAAATCACAATGTAAATCCATCATTTACACAAATAAAACACGTTCAAGTGTATTTAGACAAATACCTGACTTCTCTTCTCCATTGCTTCCTGGATCGAGTCCCTCTTTCTTTGTGGATCCACCTTTATCCACGCAGCTCTTGGCTAGACCAGCGGGCTGATTTAAAGAAAAACAAAAACCAAAAAAAGTAAATGTGAGGGAAACTGTTAAATTAAGCTTTATTAAATACATTTTTTTGTGGATAACATTATCAAGTGGCTGCTTAGTTTGTAATGTGTCTAAAAACAGGCCCCCCAGGTGTTCCTAAAGCCTAAGACTATCTGAAAAGTGAGTGTAAAGACATATTTCTTGATAAAAATACCCCAAAAATTCTGGTTTTAGCTTCTCAAAACCACATTTGTGATCCAGGCCTTAGCAGGCATATCTCTGAATTAAACCATCATCCTTCGATGCACCTAATCCTGTGTAAAATCCTTTTTTATTTGTGTTTTTCAGTGATGTATCAGTGTCAGGAATACTGTAGAGCCAGCCAAGAGATTGGGGCCCACCCCTATGCACTCGCATCGTCTCCGGCTTCTCTCCTTATATGCTACAACTAACCAGTGGAGCAACAGACACCTGCCACAGCTTCAAAAGAAAACCAAATCACCCATTGACTGTCTTTACATCTCAGAGATAACAACAGGAAACATAAAGACTCTTCCTCTGGAGCAGACCTTCATCTTCATGCTCACGCTGGAAAAACAGGCTCAAAGGAAACAGGAGGCCTTGAAGGAAAAATCATTGTGACTTCACTCTCATGCTTACTATTAAGGTCTACTTTGCTGCAAAGCCTTTACTTTCAGCTCAAATATCAACATTTAGTCAATCTAGGCCAGTTCAACCTTGAGGAATTACACAGAACCAGCACAGAAAATAAAGGTTTACACTTTCCCTTACCTCATAAGACTCATTTAGGGCATATTTAGGGACAGACACGTGCTGATCAGTGGTGAGAGGTCATATCTGATGAGAAGTAAGTCAGGTACTGAAGCCGATTGCCCCAGGAAAGCAGAGGACTCATTTTCTTCTCACATTAAGCCAAACAAATATAGTCTGAGTGGTCTGCCATGCATCCTTTCTCCCTGTTTGCTTCCCAAGTGTCCACCATCCAGATAAAAGGCAAAGCCTATCCAAAAAAATTACACTTTGCATAAAATATCAGTTAACCTTTATGAAGGAAAGCAGAGGATACATTTTCTTCTCACACAAAGCCAATCAAAAGACCTGAGAGAGAATAAGGCCACTATAAGCTAATGGATTCAGTCAGTTACTCTAAAGCCTCTCCTCAATGGCTCAGACAGTCAGACTGTGTGAGTCCTGATCTGCTTACAACCGAGACTCCAACTAAATAAACCGTCAGGAAACATGTCCCTGTTCATGCTCCGGAGCCAAACATGAACCTAATCAATTAGCAACAAGTCCAGGCTAAGGACTGGTCTGTGAGGGTTTGTCCCCAAAGAACATCTAGTCTGGGACAACCCTCTTTGGTGTATGATCTACATGGAGGAATCTAGTGAACACTTGTGAGCGTCAAGAGAAGAAGAATCTTTTAGTTTCCCCCCCTCTTTCCCCCCCATGGTTTGAAGAAAGCCAGTTACACAAAAACACACAAGCCTCAGCCCTCCCCCTAGTGGTGTAAAGTGGAACATACACAGTGGAGACAGGAGAAGGGGGAGGGAGGGAGGCAGAGAAGGCTGTCTGCAGATCGCCGCCATTTCGCAACCAGATTGTTTACTGACACAGCGCAGCCATTGCAGCAGTTTTCCACTAGATGGGGACTGAAGGGGTTTGGAAGCTCATAGATGGGAATATGGAGGCTGCTGAAAGAAGCTCCAAAGCTGAAACCAAGGCTGTGAGAGCTAATCAGAGCCTAAGCTCCAACTATGAGTGCACAAAGAAGGCCCCAGTGGTTGGACTTACTAGTGATATTACACTATAAATATTAGAAAGAAGCTCATAGCACTATAAAGGATCAGCCTTTCCTGTCCATACAACTTAATGTGAACCTCTTATGTGACAAGGCAGGTGCTGATGTGACCTATCTTTAGATCTGCTGAAAGAGACCTGAAAACAAGTCAGAGCTACCAAACCACAAACACATTACACAGGCAGCTATCAGGCTGCCGGGGCTGGCACTGAGTACCGAGTACCTAAGTACCCAGATGAGATAAAACAATAATGAACCCTGATCCCTCAAGAATGAAGAACCAATTTGCAAAACCTGTTCTCTGCTGTGATCTGCTTACATAAAAGTGTCCCCCCCCCCCATTACATAAAAAAAAATCCTAAAAAAAAAAAATGCTCAATCGTATAGATCACCCTGACATTTAACTTGCTACCAATTCACAGTAACAGCCTGACACTGTGCTAAAGAAATCTGGCAAAGGAGCTTTTTTTTCTCAGGTGGTTTAGGGATTGAAGCTGCAGGCTGTAATTGCAAAAAACCCTCAGTTTGAATAGTCTGGGTGGTCTGTCATGCAGCCTCTCTTCTAGCTCATTTCCTGTTGTTTCCCAGCTGTCCACTGTCTAGATAAAAAAGGCAAAGATAGCCTTAAAAAATAATTGACTTGGCATAAAATTTCAGCTAACCTTTATGAATATGTCAATAATTAACCCACCATGGGACACATTGTGCAAATGAACGAATGACCCTGAGCCAGAATCCAGCAGCTGGTAAACATAGAAGCTCACATCACACCCCAATGTACTTCCTCTAAATTAATAAACAAGATCTGCAGTATATATCTGAACATACTGTAGCCTAGACAAGGTCCACAGTGACCTCATTACTACATACTGACCACTGAGAGAGTGGAGAAGAGAAGGGATTAAAGATAAAGGTATAACCAAAAAAGGTGGCTGTACCTCACTTTAGAAAAATCAGGTAAATTTCAAGATCTTCAGGAGGTCACGCTTATCTTCCCATATTGAGATTGACATTTGTCATGAAGTGATTGCTCTAGTTCAAAGGGAGCCGTCTCCAGTCACAGGATCCATCCATGCCATAATCACATCTCTCTGCTACCACACACACAAAAAACACACAAACAAATCCTCTCTCCTTTAAGATCTAGTTTTTGATTTCAGGAATCCAGAGAAATCTGACAGATTAGAATTACTGACAGATGAGCAGCTCGAGGAGCACGTCTTAAATTTTAAAAAAAAAGAAAAGAAAGAAAAAACAAAAACAGAGAAACCTTCTCAAAGAGAAGACAGCAAGAGCTCAAACTAATTGGTAGTAACTTGGTCTAAAAGGAACGGGGAAGAAAGACTATGCATCTCCTCAGACCACTAAAAGCCAACTAAGGGTGAAGAATACAAAGCTAACATGTCGTTTCTCTTGTGCCTCCAGGAAGCATCATACCTGCTTTCTTCTCATGGCCTCCATTGAGAAGAAGAAGGTGGCAGAGAAGGAGTGAGTGAGGGAGAGAGTGTGTGTTTGAGAGAGAGAGAATGAGGGAAGGAGGGAGGACAGAGAGGGAGAGCGCGAGGATCTGTCGAACAGATTGTTCCTCCTTTCCTTTTCTTTCCCCGCATGCACATTCACCTCTCCGGTCATGTGACCTGGTGGCTCCCTCTGTCGGTCCTCTCTGTCAGAGGGTCTCCACAGAGCATGCTCAGTCATTTCCAACTGTAACACCACTCCATTTCCCCCCCCCAAACTGGAAGACCCCCACTGCCAACGAAGACCTAAATCACCACCCAAAGGCTGCATACCCAACAAGAATAAGAGGAAAAAGCCTGAATAACCAGCACGTACAGACGATTTTATCTGTCAAATCATTCCTGTATTCATGCCAAATTCACTTATTCTATTTATACACATTTTGTAATTCCTTTCATCGTTTCATATAAAAATAATAAATCTTCTCGTCAGTAAAGGATTTTTAAGCTCCAAAAAGCCTCGACAGTATGCAGCCACTGCCATTTCAGGAGGAGCAATGGAGAGAAGGAAGGAGGAGGTACAAGAAATGAGGCCCAAAACCAAACTGCTTTTCTTCATAGACAGCAGGCCACTTTTTGAACCTCTCAACAGGAGTGTCTTTTGTCTCCACTCAGCCCGAGGCCAACAAACACCACTAAACATGGCCTGCCAGGTTCATGAAACAGATATTAAGTCATAGGCTGAGCAGCCATTAAAGAAGCCTGGAAACACTTAGAAAGGAAAGCACAAAAGGACCTGAAGATATCAGCCTACGAGATCAATCAAACTTAGCATAACATGTCAGTACAAAGGTTTTCCATCGTTGTTTTTGTTGTCTTTGTCGTACTTTGTTTTAATGTGATCAATGAATTGAATCATCTATCCAATAAAAAAATGACATCAAGAGGAAGCATATCAACGAACCCTGACATTTTATTTTAGCATTTCTGACAACAATTAACTCATAATTAATAAAAAAAACAAAAACATAAAAACAGGTTAGTTCATTGGGAGACTTCCTGGACAGGTAGGAATGCAGATGTAGAAATGCTACAGCTTCTACTGTTTCACAGCTAAACAATAACAAGCTAATCCTGACATGTGAGCTATGCAACATGCCCAAGACAATGACAATGGAAGCAGGTTGGGAGGCATACCTTCATACCTTTCTGACATTTTACTTGGGTGTCTAAAACATGAAAATACTCAAGTTATTATGAATTAAAAGGAGAAAACAAACAGTTCTAACAGAAAGCATTATACTTTATATTGCAAGAATGTTAATTTTAATTCTGATTCTGGCTTCCAAATTATGACAGCCAAATAATCAGGACATAATTATTACTCTCTCTGTATTAATTTTCTCTACAAAGCTCTCCTTTTCCTGCTCCATATCAAGCACTCTCATTTCCATTATATAAGTGCATTTGTGCCCCTCCTAAAAAGCTCAGTGAGTCCCTGATGATAATAAAAAATAAAAATATTTTTTAAAAAGTACTCTTTCACAAGGAGCTATTCAGCTATTCTTCAAAGATCGCTCACCAGCCAAAACCTGCTCTCAAATGACATCGGCTTAATGATCCATTTATGCTCGCCACAATGGCTTTGTGCGCTGATCAGGTGACGTCATCACACAGCCACATCCATTTGTACTCGTGAAATTACTCGGCACTGCTGCAGTAATCTCTCTCCACGATTTCTGTCCTCCCATGTTCGTTGTGTCATGTATATGCTTGTAGAGGTGGACATGCTCACACAGTCATGCCTGAAACATGTCCATTTTGAAAATAACTGCACCTGCTATAATTTAACTTAAATGTGCAACCAGCTGAAACAACACTAAAGGACGGCTTACACCAGCGGATGTGACGTCGCTTTTGTCATTTGACACCACTCGCAATGGTGAGAATGACAAACATAAGGTCTCGAGACCAGTTGGTGACCCCTTACAACCATTGGTGGCTCAGGAAAAATGTGTGTTCCCCAATTGGTTGCAAGTGTTTGCTGTCTGCAACCAAGTTAAATTGACTGCAAAGAGGTTGCTGCATCAAAAGCTTCCTTGTGATTTTGTTTGAAGATACTGGAAGATATCGCCTATAGTTTGCATGGACAATGACAGCAGAAGTAGGCCTGGGAGACACCCATTTTTGTCATATCTTGTAGAGATTAGCATTTGAAGCAAAAATTCAATTTGTTATTCTTATTCAGTGGGACCAGACAACCTCACTTGCCAACAGCTCTCCCTGATGAACACGTGTGTAGGCCAGCAAAACAAACACTCCACCACACTCCACACGCCAAAAATCAAATAATAAAGCCCAAGGCATCAATGTGGACTAAAATGAAAAAAAAAAAAAGCTTCAAATCTCAATCTGACTGAGCATTGATGGAACAAACTTGATTCATACAAGCCCAACACAGAGGAAGCTAATGGATCTGCTGCCAAAGTTCTGATGATAACACACAGCTATACACCCTCAGACACTCCACGTCCACTTCCTGAAGTGTCTAAGCTTTTCTAGGAGTATAAAGGGACCCCTAAAAAATATTAGAGGGGTGATCTAATTGTTGGGTCCTAGAAACCCTTCATTAAAAAGCTATCCAGGATAAATCCATTATTATCTATTATTAGAAAAATGTGTTTTTGAAAAGACCCCATAGTTACAAACCCTAAAAAGAGACTGCAAAGCCCAAATCATTTACATTGAGTAAATGTTAACTAGGGATGGGTACCGGTATACCGGTAACGGTTCTGACATAAACGGTAGTAACCAGACCGAAAAGCAGTGCACATTTCGGTGCTTTCCCCCCCCCC